CGAACCTTTTTCGAAAAGTGGGTCAAAATTGAATTAGAAATTTAATAAGGCCGCGTTTCTTTATGCAGCGCTCGAGAAGCGCTTTACAGCGAACCTTCTGAAACCCGTTTCTAAATGCAGCGCTGCAATGTAGCGAACCGTTTCTAAACGTTTGCTGCAAGAGGTCGCTGCAGCGAAGATAAAGCAGCTTTTACGCAAGGGCTTTTACGTCCGCTACACGCGTAAAGTAAAATGGACGCTTGTGTGTATAATACGATATTATGCTGTAAAAATAAAAAAGTCGAAGTGACTGTTGATAAAAATATTATGGAAAGATTAAGAAGGATTAAATTTTATGAAATGACTCTGAAAGTTATCTAAAGAATAAGAAAATACTATATTTTAAATATAATTATATATCTTTTATCTCTTTACTTTGTTCACATTTATGGAAAGATAAATGCTCGATTCTTTATATCTCTTTATTTAAATATTGTAGTTCTTTAACTAAAGCAGTATTTTCGGCTGTAACTGGAATTAAAGGATATATTATGACGTCCGTGTTTCGCTCGAGCGGAAAGCGTTTCTAAACTATGATGCAGCGACGTGTAGTGATAGCTGCTCGTGACGTCATTTACGTTGCACTCTCGCTGCATAAAGAAACGCAGCCTAACTCAAAATCGTGGGTCAAATATTTAATTTAAGTAATTAAAAAAATAATAAAAAATCGTACAAATTTTACTTAACTTTTTAATTTATATCAGAAAAGTAATAATACTGTAAGTGAAAAATTTATAATGTGATTATAACAGAAACAAATATATTGTTTAATGAGAAATCTCTTGTTATTTATTTGATGATAATTTTTCTATCTGATATTCATTATTAGTAGCTTTTAAGACTTTTTTATGATAGTTATAGAACCCCGCTTTCACATTACATGCATGTATGAAAAGTTTTGAAATTAATCAAATATTTTAAAAATATAATTTATAAAATCTTAATACTTTCCAAACATTCAGTGCAAGTATCTTGAATTAATCGCGCAAGTCACAGTTTGCCATCTCTAGTCTAGAAAGAAATCCAGATTGCTGAAATGATAAAGGCATTGGTCTGCCGCTCAATGGTCCTCTTGTGCGTTCCTCAGAAATTTTCGTCTATCTCGGTCTTCAGCGAGCCCTGTCCTTTACCATTTCAACGCCTGGTCAAATCCGTGACAGACCTTATTTTTTCGTATTTGGCTCTTTCTCCCTATAGACATAAAGATGACCTTTTTCTATAATATCGATTGAACAGGGATCACACCGGAGCGGCCGAGTAATGAAGTATGGAGTCCACGTATCCGGTACAAACTACCCCAAAAAATTCCTGGAGTTTTCGATCCGTTCTCGGGTTCTCCAGAGCGGTAGGCTGACATCTTAAGTACCTACACTGCCATCTGACCACCGTACAATAGAGCCAACGGTATCAAAAGGAGAAAAATTCAAAAATCAAAATCTCTGAGACTTCATTTAATATTCGTTAATATGCGTGCGCTTAAGACGCATGCATGGGTACGCGTGTTTTCGGTATAGATTTGAAATTTTAAATGTGTTATTAACGGTGAGAGTCAGGAAAAAGTGCGCTTTCTACCAGAAGTATTATTTAGTTTAGTAAATTTCTTTTTCTTGAATTCATTCCAGCATGAAAACAACACCTTTGGATTTGTTAATTAAATACTCATTAAACACAATTAAATTTATCGTTATTATAATAATTAAATTAAAATAATTGATTAGAAAACTAAAATTTTGACAACAAATCAATAAAAAATTTGTTGATATTTAATACTATTTCTAGTTTTTCCCGAGCTTCAAATTTGGTGATTATTTAGTACACCATTCAGGACAAAAAAAAAATATTATGTCTTTGTGTACCTTTTATAAATATTATTCATTTTTAATAGCTTTTATTTGCACTTCAATTTTGCAAAATATATTCTAGTGTATAACAACTTATTTTAATCTTTATAGGATTGATTTCAACTTATTCGTTGTTTTCATCTAAAGAAAAAATTATTTGATATAATGAAAACATCAGATTTCCTGAAATTAGTCGATTAAATTGAATATTTACAAAAAGACATTGAAAAACGGATATTAGTTTTTTCTTGATCTCTATAGGAGACTTTCACACTTTATATCAGAATTAAAAAAAAAATCTCTTTAAAATCAAATAGGAGACAGGGTGGCCGAATCTGGGCGGGTCGAATAAATCCTAAAAGTTTTTGGCTCCCTAGATATGTCGAGCCAATCCCTCGCCACCCAGCCGCCCTATTATGAGCCTCGCTGAACCCACGACGGAATTATTTTTAAAACATAACTCTTAGTGTCCATAGGACGAAAAGAGTCAAAAATAATAAAAAAAAAAATTAGTTATTTGTCGAAACCGTGTCTTCTTTTTCTTGTTTCTTCTTCCTTGCACATGCGAACCCCCAAAAGTATACATCGGTGAAACAAAAAGAAAATTAGAAACAAGACTAAAAGAACACATCGCAGACCTGAAATATAACAGAATCAACTCAGTTTTTTACGAACACTGCACGACCCACAACTGCAAAATAGATAAAAAGGATGCAACAATAGTACACAAAGAAAAAAATTGGTACAAAAGAAAATTCAAAGAAAGCTACGAAATTACTATAGACAAAAATAATATTAACAAGAACCTTAGCATCGACATCCATAAAAACTGGCTTCAATTATTAAAATAAAATAGAATGTTTATACAGTCGCAGGCGAGGCTGTGTGCAACACTCAGAGAAGGGTAATGTTACAAATTACGAGGCATGCGGGGGAGTCCGTCAAGTCGGGAAAAGAGGGGAGGGGAAGGGAGCGGGAAGTACGGACACACAAGTCACAACTATCGACGTAACAGACTGAAGAGGGGCGAAAGCCCGAAACGCGTTTCTGTAAGAAGTAAATGTAAGTGATGGAATTATTTGCCAAGTGTCTATAAATGCACCAAGTCGTGACATAGAATCAGAAGAAAAAAAAAATTAATTGAAAATTCTATATCCTTTCCGATTATTCTTACCTATTTGAAAGCAGTTGCCCGTTCTCACCAAAGTTTTGTTGAACGTTTTTAACGAACAAAACTACAAGAAAGCTAATCATTATTTCGTAGTTGCACAAAGCTATCTAAAAGAGTTACAAGGGTTTTGCAGAGAAGCTATTGAAACAAAGGAATGTCCAATATCACACAAGCAGAGGCAGAAATTTTAGATAATAGCTCAGCTTCTATTTACAAGTCACAGCTATGTCTGGAGATAAAATTTATTTATTGGCCGGATGGCCGAGCAGTCAAGGTGGCAGCCTACCCAGGATCGAATCCGAATGGGTCAAAAAATCCCCAGGAATTTTTCGGAGGTGGTACGTCCGGATATATCGGGCCCCGTCCCTCATCCCGCCCGTTTCATTGTGGGTCTGGCCGAATCCATAATGGGCTTGCTAAAAAAGGCCCTCTTAGTGTCCACAGGGCGAAAAGAGTTTTAAAAAAATATTAAATTATTATATTACTACTCATTAATATACTGTAAATTTAGTGTATTTGTCACTATTGCCAAGCGGAAATCTCAGCCTAGTATGTTATCAAATTGCATTTAAATAAATCATATTCATTGTTCATGTGGTTTTTTATTCAACAAAATATACTTAAAAAGTAATTTTTGCAATATTAAATATTTAACAAAATACACAAGCTGAATTTTTGCCAAGTTATATAATTTACTCCACTGTGCATTGAGTAATGAGGATTGGGACGTCGTTCCCCAAGAAGCAAGAAGAGGAAGAGTTTGAGAATTTGTGGTCAGCCATGATCTAGACCAGGGCAGTGTTCAGTAACGCAGAACACCTAAGTTAGAATTCTGAGTGGCTTAGTGGGCGGAGCTAAGAATACATAAAAGAAGCTAGTGGTGGGAGGAGTCAAGCAGTAGTTAGAAACGAGTTCAGCATTGCAGCATAACTAGACTTAGCAAGAATTCTGCGTTACTGAACACGGCCCAGTGTTTCTCAACCTCTAACGAATCGTCGCCTCCTTCAATAAAACCGTTATGTAGTATCGTCCCCTTCATTTCGAAAGCAATTTTGTGGGTTTGTTATTTTAATTTTTTACAAAGTATATAATTATCAAATAGACATTTATTTACTTAGAATACATATCAGATTTTGATATAATTAACAAAATTAAAATTAAGCATTATTCGCTGTGAATCCCAGCTGCAAGTTTCAAAATTCCGATACCGAGGGCCGAGGCTACCGCCAAATTCGTACTGCATTGAATAGACTGGTCACTAGTATAATGTTATTTGTTTGATTATTGTACGACATAACGAATAAAATATCTAATTATTCTTAATATAATGTTTTACTATGTCGCCCAGAAAATTGTTTTTTCCCCCAAAATATAAATTGTTACTAAACGCCCCCAATACGGAAAAACGCCCACATTGGGCGATTGAGAAACACTGATCGAGACCTTTGTGATTTTTCACGGCTAGTTAGGATCAATATACTGTATTATTATTCATTCTACACTAATATTGACCTCCCTCATTACAGAAAAGCTTGTTGATAATGAATGAAAATTTAAACAGCCACATCTTTACTGCCTACAGGACGGAAAGAGTCAAAAATGATTTTCCATTTTTGACTCTTTCCATCACTATGGGCACTAAGCGAGTCTTTTTTAAGCAGTCATGTACAAATAAATAAATATATATTGTATATATATATATACTGTATACTGAATATAAATAAATAAATTTTGTTTTGTTTGTATCGTCCATTTGTTGTTTTGTTGTTTGTATCGTCCATTTGTTGACAATACAACTACGAAATTAAATTTTATTTTATTTGTTTATTTTATTTTTAAAATTTATTTTAAATTACAGGATTTACTTTTAACGCACCGTTAATTTTTAAATAAAATTTTTTATTATTTTGTTTTATTTTCTGCATCAAGCATTACTTAGGAGGCGCTGAGATAGTCCAAATCGTGTTTTGACGTATTTAACGTCTATAATGGGATCAGGTTTTATGAGAACGTAATTTATTATTATTATTATTATTTCCAAAATACTGGTTAAATTAAAAACTCAGATCTATATATTGAAATCTTCTAATATTTTCCTTTTTATTTTTACTATTATCAAGTTCGAATAATTATTTTGATCGTAATAGAATAAATACTTCAGCATGTCTGTGAAAGTTGGTTTAGGTGCTAATGAAGATGATCTAGATATTCAAGGAGAAATAGATTTCGATTTCTTTGACAGAGAACAGAAACAAAAAGATCTAAGTAAGAAAATAGAGTTGCCTTTAGTAAATAAACAAAATCATATCAGAAAAACTCTAATTGAAACTGTGATTCCTTCACTTATAGATGACAGTTGTGAAAATGGTGAAAAAATGAAAGATGAAGATAAAGATGATTGCCATTCAGTTTCTTCAAGTGTGTCCATGACTGATTCGGAAGAGAGTTCTTTGAGCGAAGAATCTTTCGATGATCTGACCGAATCGGGTTCAATAACGGATGTGACTCCTCTAACGTCTCCGTGTTGTGACAGTCCCCTTCCAGAATTCCTGAAAAATGATAATTGCCAACCGAGGAGAAAATTAAATGACTACGCGGAAGATAAGATGTCAAATGATTTTAATATGAAAAAACGAGAAAATGTCAAATTCGCTGATAATGTGGAATGGAATTCGACTTCGAAAAATAATACTGTTGATTTAAATGCACTTTTATGTGCGATTAAACAACTAGAATTGGAACAGAATAAAAATTCTAGTGATAACAAAGCATTTCAGGCAAAATTTTTGAACTCTGCTCGTAAAAATATGTCTTTTTCTAATGAAGAAGTACGCCAGATCGATCATGAAAATCAACGTCTTCTTAAAAAAATATTGACTCAACAAAATCGACCCACTTCGAAATATCTTGGTCAAAAATCTCGCATACCTCAGTCTCATGTATCTTCGTCTGCGATCAATCGATTAAAACAACAAAGACAAATTGAACTTGAGAACCTGGTGAGTGAAAATAAAATGTCTATATAATATTTTAATTATATTTTAGAAAAGTTGGAAACTTGAAATCTGTTATAAGCTAAATAGTTGTTTTTAATTCATGTAAGATTATCTGAATATGAATACTTTGTTATAGAAGTTGAATACAAGTTTTATCACTATTTGCTAGTAATAAACTGTATTTTTTTTTTTTATCACAAAAACTTATTTCTATTAATTAGTTTTAATTTTAATAAAAAGGTGTCACCTATCTTCAAAAACAATTTTTTTTTTTACATTAAACATATTTTTAAATGCATTTTAAAGAGAACTGATATCTTTTTATTAAAATAGTTATAGCCTATTTAATAAAAATTCTAATTAACCTTTTGCTGTTTCAAAATGAGAAGATTATTGATATTATTAAGATAACTATTCACAATAATTATCTGCATGCTAACCATTTGTGGAAGTGATTATATATATATAATTCCATATGTCTTGGCCTTTATTTCATTTAATATATCAGAATGGGGTAATGATTAAGAAATGAAATTTAGCCTGGTAGCTTGTGTATAAAGAGCATTGATGCTATTAAACCTAATAGCATCAAAATAGCATCAAAATTGCTATTTTGATGCTATTAGGTTATAGATCGAGGAGTGGGAAGATAGAAAGGGGTTACGTGTCATAATTTGAGTAGAGTTGGACTTCATGAAGATTTTACTATTAGCATTTATAATTTTATTTAAAACTCATCTCTATCCTCAAAATTAAAGTATTTGCAGTTTTGTAATTATAATGTCACGTGCATGGGCTCATGCCTATTTAGTATAGACATATAAAACTCGATGCTAGCCTATACTTGCATCATATTTGTTTATCTATTTTAACAGCATCAAATGGATTTAATTTTGTTTCGTATTGATTAAAACAAAGCAATTATCATTAAAAAAACACAGGAATAGAGAACATATGTACAACATACAGAAACATATATATATTTATATATAATAGCAATGGTGTGCAGTCCATGGAAGCTGCGGAAGCGCCGCTTTCCTTGTATTTTCTAAAATATAAATACATATAATTCNGTGACTCCGAAGACTTTTTACTAATTAATAATTTTAACCAATTAAAAATTTTAATTTGAAAAATTTAAGAAGATAACTCATTAGAAAGAATGGTAAATATATAGGCAATTTTTTTTCTCAATTTTTATTGAGAGACCTGCCGTATATTTTCTAATAGACTCCTTCTGCATTTAATTACTGGACTGGCTGACCAACCTGGACCTTATTAGCCTACGGTTATGTTCCACAAAAACAAAAAAAAACCAAGTAAAGAACAGATCAAAATACACAGATATATCAAAAGATAATTAAGGACCTCTTTCGCTAATTTTTGGTCAACCGACTGGGATATGATGCACTCAAAAACAAAACCAGAAATTTCTGAGTTCTGATTTCGGTTTTGCCAGAGACTGAAGTCTATTTGAGTCTTTATTGCAAAGCTGCATTTATGCAAATGTAAGGGGGAAAACACACAAACACAAACTTTTCAGATCAGAATTCACAATTGTGACACTGCTTATGCAGAAGCAAGAAATGAATTTCTCACACAAACACGAGAAATGTGCACAAACATCTAGACCCTGTGTGAGCATTAGTTCTAAATTATGCCACTGTGGCAAACAGTTCCAACAGCCAGAACTCAGTTTGTGGTATTTGTGGTATTTTCTGGTCATAATTACAAATTATGATTGCTTTATTTATAATTACTATTAGTTAATAATGAAAATGAGTTATTGTCCTGTAAACAAAAGAAAATATTCTCAAACTAAATTATAATGTCAAACGAAACAAAACTCATAAACATAAAAATTACATTTGGACTTGACTTACAAATAATGTATATTATTGTGGTCAACTAATTTTATTTCAGTCACTGTTTAGTTACTTTTTCCTTACTGGGAGTTACTATTCTCACTTATTTTGATTTTCTGTTTCGAAGCCTGCTTGTTGTACTTTAAAATTTTCTTTTTAACCCTTCGGGGAACGCGCCTTTCAGGATCTCACGAGAGGGCGCATCGCGGCAATTGCACCGCATATGTAATATTACTTGATTTAAGTCAATAATTAATTATCGTTTTGAAAATATGATTCAGATATACCAGAAAACTATTTTTACGGCATTTCAATGAACAAATTGTTTATAAAATATTTAGATAATAAAAATAGTCACTATATATTCATGAGATGTTCACTTTCACACATGGCACATATAATCACCATATTCCGATTCTTCTTCCAAACATTTCTACTCATTTCTGACAAATTGATTTTTTCCTATTGTTTTTGAGTATGCCACAAATAAAACAAATTCTAGGTTTTTGCCGCTACTTTGGATTGCTCTTTGTTTCCCTTATATTTTTGAAAAATATAAACTAATATAAATTTAAAAATTTATAGAAACTTACAATAGTGTTAATTTAATATATTTATTTAATAAACTTGCAAATATTGACTTACTTTATTCAAAAAATTAAACACATATATATAAATGTATACTGATATTTTAGTTACATGACAGGGCGCATAGCGGCAGTTACAATGCAAATTAGGTACGACTTGATTCAAAGTCCAGTAACAGCTAAATGGTTAGCATAACTGACCTGATTTCAAAGATAAATTGTAACTTGTAATATGAAGAGAGAATACTATGCCGTATTTCCACAATAATTAAGTACAACATCAAAGAAACGAATTTATTATTATTTTGCAGCAATTTGCCANTTGTTTCCCTTATATTTTTGAAAAATATAAACTAATATAAATTTAAAAATTTATAGAAACTTACAATAGTGTTAATTTAATATATTTATTTAATAAACTTGCAAATATTGACTTACTTTATTAAAAAAATTAAACACATATATATAAACGTATACTGATATTTTAGTTACATGACAGGGCACGTAGCGGCAGTTACAACGCAAATTAAGTACGACTTGATTCAAAGTCCAGTAACAGCTAAACAGTTAGCATAACTGACCCGATTTCAAAGATAAATTGTAACTTGTAATATGAAGAGAGAATACTATGACGTATTTCCACAATAATTAAGTACAACATCAAACAAACGAATTTATTATTATTTTGCGGCAATTTGCCGCGGGGGCGCCCACCGAAGGGTTAAAAGAACTTACTGAGTTATATCAATTACTAGAATTTCTCTTGTCAAGCATGACAAAATATTTTTTTTTATGAGAAAGTAGAGATTGAAGAACTGAGAAGAGCTTCAAGTTGAGCTTGATGTTGTGATGCTGTTTCTGCAGCCCTCGACAAAGCCATTCTTACTCCATGTTGCTCAAGTCGGATTTCATGGCCTTCAGGGGTCTTGGTTGTTCTTATTCTAGATCTAAAAGATCTAGAATTTACCTCATCAATTTTCTCTTATGCTTTTCCCTAGGCATTTTTTTTTTTTTGACAAAATAGCGAGTCTTTTTAATTTCGCATTGATAAAACAAAGATGAATTGTATGTACAGTATGTTAATTAGATGAGCAATAACACTTTCTAAATAATGGGCTGGTTAGATTGTTACTTCCAATTGAATAATAGAATGTCAAGTGGTCACTATGGAAATATTTTTTTAAAAATTTGTTATAGAAGTGACCTGATGCTGCTATCATTTTTTAACATTAAATTTAAAGTATGTTTATAATATGCTATTTGCCAAAATATTTTAAAATGCAACATACTGTGTTGCCCCGAAAATAAGACATCCTCTGAAAATAAGACCTAGCATAGGTTTTGCTAAATTGCTAAATATAAGGCTTCCCCCAAAAGTAAGACCTAGCAAAGTTTTTTTACTCGTAACGGTCATCGACAGATGGTTGAAAGTGGCCGTTGGCTTTTTGAAAGTACAGTCACTGATTGGTCAGCAGACAATCACGCCACACTGCATGATTTGCATAAAACTATGACTTGGGTATCATAGATTTGCATAATGTTAGGACTGGTGATGGCTAATTGGTCAGCCGGGAATCATGCCACATCACATTTGCATAGTGCTATGGTTCAATAAGCACTAATTGGTCATCGAGCCCGATGTCGACGCTATAAAAAGGTTAAGTTGAAGCAAGAGTGAGAAGTCCACTCCAGCACAAGAACTTCGTAAGTTCACTTTGGTTTTATGTAAGTTTAGTTCGACACGACTGGATATATGTCACTCTTGTCTAAGTTCGACTTGGGAATTTTTTTGTTCAATAATAAATGTGAATTCTTCTTCATGGAAAAAATAAGACATCCCTTGAAAATAAGACCTAGTGCATCTTTCAGAGCAAAAATTAATATAAGACACTGTCTTATTTTTGGGGAAACATGGTAAGAGAAATTTTCTCTTCAAGCATGAACATCACATGGTCACTGAAATCACTGCAACATAAGTGTGATCACCAATCCGGAATCAAACATTCATTCTATAGCTAATATTAGCTATAACATAAAATGAATATAACCAAAATTTCATTTGAATTGGACAAAAATTGTAGGAGTTATTAGGAATTCACACACACATACACACACACACACATATACAGACAACAGCCTTTATATCAATAATTATTACTTATTAAGCATTGTAGATTTATTTCTTTTGCTTTCTCCTAGTTCTCTGCTTATCTTTCCATCTATACCAGGGGTGGCCAACCTTTTGCATACCATGCGCCAATTTTTTGATAGACGAGTTCAGATGCGCAGTGGCGTACCGTGGGTGTTAGCCGCCCGGGGCGGAGAAAAATTTCGGCCACCCTTTAATCAGGTATTTCAATTTAAAAGATCAAAATTCAGTTGTGTGAAAAAAAAATTAATAAAAAATGCGGTGGTGGTGTAGTTACCCGTACAAAATAGTCCCATTTGACATTAGTGGCATACACGATTGCGAATGTATCGTGAATCGTAGAAGCATAAAAAAAAAAAGGTCAACAGGTGTAGCAGTCCAACCGACTCGTGGACTGTCCGGACGGTAGCACTGTCATTTAGACGCCTATGCACTGATCGAAAATAAACATACA